TTTTCCTCAGCATTGTTTATCAGCTACTCCCTCCGTCCCATTGAGTTTGTCGTTGGAAAACCGTGCCCCCCTCACAATCCCGCTTCTCGAGCGACAATCTTAACGGGACGGAGGGAGTATGGTACATTGTGATATGAATTAGTGCGTGACATCAAATACTATATAGCTTGTACTTGGTTTGTTAGAGGCATAAAAAAATCACTCCTGAGGAAAATAGGAGCAAACGCACGGGCAGCCGGCAGGCATGACCACGACCATGAGCGCCTCCCCCGAAGAGATCAGTGGTCGACAGGTGTAGAGAACAGAGGAACATAGCACGTCTGGGAGGTCAAAGTCTCCAAGTTTGTAGGCTATAATAATAATATAATATAGGGTCGGCGACGATGGGGCTACAGGGCATGGCCAGCTTTACCAGGCACCCCGGGTGAGAGCGAGACAAAGGACCGTGGCCGTCCCGTCCCGTCCCTGGCTGTGCCATAGATAAGGGCATGGAGAGGTTCGGGCGGCGGCTCCGACTTTGCATACTGTTGTTGCAGACTATAGATGTGTTGTTGCAGACTATAGATGAGCCATCGGAACCCTAAATCTTTGGTTCCTCTAGCTCCTCCCTGTTGCCAATTGTCTCTTGCAGGAGCTGGAGCAGGCTTCGTGCTATAATGCAGTACAGTGCACCCGCGCAGGAGCCAGAGCCAGCTGAAGCGGTGCCAAGGGTGTTTGGAATTGCTCCACAAACTCTACTCAACAAACTTCATCGTGGAATAGCTTCGCAAAAAACTAGAGTTTGTGGAGTATCTCTTTAAGTGCTCTCACAACTTCATCCTTTTTCCTCGAAGAGAGTCCGTGGAGCTAAAACCGTTTGGCTAAAAAACGTGGAGCGAAGCAGTCCCAAACACCCCCTAAATAACCCCTAAATATCTTGTCCTTGAAGAAAATTATTAAGGGTCCGTTTAGATCCCTTTATTTTAGAGAAATTAAAATCTACGTAATGAATTAGGCTATTTGGCATGAAATTTGAAATTTCATAACATTCCCAAGCTCACAAATAAGCCTATCTCAAATTCATAGGGTGGGAGATGAAAATAGATTCTATAGATCACTATGCTATAATTCTATTCTCCAACTTATAGCACGCTTTTCAACTCACTTCCCTACAATAGAAATACAACATATAAGTATGTCCCTGGTATGTCTAACTATAAATATACAAAAATATTCTATATATAACTATATTAGCTTAATTAATCTATGTATAAATTGTAATTATTTGAATGAATTCAATTTCAAGGACAAACAGGACCTAAATAAATACTAGTACTTCCTCCGAAAAAGGCAGATCTTTATTTGTTGAGAAGTGAAACTTTTGAGTCAATGCTTAGTACTACCTCTCTTTCTTTTGGAATTAATTTTTTAAGTTTAATTAGATCTGTCGGGTACCTTAGAACGGGGTACCCCAAGCAAACATCAAAATAAAGCTAGAAGGTAAGCCGTGGGCCCCTCACCTGCCACGACCGAGCCCTCCTACACCTCGCCTCGACCTCTCGGCGGGGAGGTCTCGGAACAAACTCCGCCTCATGAGGCTCCCAGTAGGCCTCGGCGGGGCGCCGAGCCTCGGCGGCCGGCGCCTCTGTCTGCTCGCCCAAAGCTCTCCGGGGAAGGCCTCGGCGGGGTACAATCTCCGTATCGCGCGAGGCGTCTCGCGCGAGGCCTCGGCAAGGAAACTGATCTCCGTCTCGTGCGAGGCCTCATTCTCCGTGTCGCTCGAGGCCGGCTCGTCCACGGTCCGTCGCCCCCCGCCTCGGCCGACCCTCCCGACAACTCGTCATGTCTCATTAATGCTTCAACCACTCCCATAATCTCAATGGACGGTGGCTCAACGCCACAGGATGGCCGACGCGACCCAGGTCGCATCAGGCCTCATACCGGCGGACAGAGCACGACGGGATTACCGCCATCGTGTCCTACCACTTCGTGGTCCACGATCGATGCCATACCGGGCCGGACAGGCACGACGGGGATTACCGCCACCGTGTCCTACCATCGCGTGTCCACGATCGGCGCCATACCAGTGGGGCAGGGTACAACGGGATTACCGACCATCGTGTCCAAACGCTATACCCATGATCGGCCGCCCGCTCAAGGCCTCGGCACTGTACACCGGGGCCTCGGCGATCTTGGGGTTCGTGCCTGCCGAGACCCCCCCCACCGCAGTGCCAGCCTCGGCATCGACCAAGTCTCGGCCTCGCGCACAGTCCGTCCACAGTGGCTTGCACGTTCGCCGCCGCGTCCACTCCGAGGCATTCCCGGGGCTCCCACGACGCACAGGATTTGATGGGACGACCACGCCGCCCCAGTGCTCCAAGGACGGACCACTCCGACGGCCACACCGCCACAGGAACAGGCTACAGGGCCCGGACGCGCCGCCTCTGTTCACACGACGCCATATAGTTAGCTCATGTACCGCCCTAGTCCTCTCTTCATGCTATAAAAGGAGAGGACTTGAGCTGTTTTAAGGGAGGAGGGACACCTTGTGACACACAGACACACGCACACTCCTGCCGCCTGAGAGCAACGTCTCAAGCGGCCCGCACGACACCCTACCGAGACCTAGGACCAGCTCCTTCTCTCCTTTAGCTTGTAACCCCCTACTACGAGCACCTCGGTGCAAGGAATACAAGATCGATCTCTCAGACTGGACGTAGGGCCTCGATTGACTGAACCAGTATAAACCTTGTGTCCCTTTGCATCACCATCCGGATCGGGAGCACGCAGAACAAATTTACTGGTTGGTTGAGGACCCCCGGTCCGAAACACCGACAAGATCTATAAAAAAATAGTATCAAGATTTACATACCTCAATACTTCCTCCATCACTTTTTATTCGTCGTTCTAGATTTCAAACATTGTCCCCAATTAATTGTCGCTATGAGTTCTGTGGGTAAATGTAGTACCATCTCACCATGCCACCTGCCCATCGACAGTGCAGCAGGCTGTAGCCTTATCCCTCCCCCTCCCACACCACCGCACAAGAACCAAGCATTAACGACTTGTTCATTTAAAGCATTAACGACTTGTTCATTTAAAGTTGCAGTTGTTAAATGATTGCTTCATAAGGGTGATGTCTTTTGCCACCATCTTTGGTAACTGGGTATAAGTCTAGAACGACAAATATTAAGGGGTGGAGGGAGTATATTTACATGAAAAAATGAAGGAAATGAAGAGGGAGAAAAAAAAAAGAAATCCTATCCTACTTTTATACTTTATTTCACTCGTACATTTGCAGCAAGAATCGTGTCCTACTTTTTTTTCTTCCCCACTTCCTTTCACCTCGAGATTGGGGCGACGATACGCGCATGTAACTTTACGTGCATGGGGTGCTTTTGCCTGAGTGCCAAAAGATTAGGGGTGGGTTTAGGAGTTGTTGGAGATAAGTTTTTTCAATCTTACCAAAATTCCTGTATCGAGAGACTTGTGTGTAAGAGATGCTCTAATTGTCTTTTGTTGTTTTTATTTATTCATTCTCTCTTGTAAGGCGTTTTGGCTTAGCTTTTGCTATGTACATATCCACTATCTAGACAAAAAAAAATGTATCTAAAAAAAATCAAAACATCTTACAATTTAAATGAGGGTCTTACAATTGGAAATGCAAATGGAGGGAGTAGTACCCAATTTTCCAAGACCGTGCCGACCGCCTCGGCACTTGTAATAGTATAAAACTTAGGAGTCTAAACAGCTCAATCCATTCTATCCACTTCATGTTAACCGGACTCTAGACTCCCACAAACCCACTGTCGATTTTGTTCACAGCTTCGTGTAAATAGGTTTGAAGCTAACAATCTCATGGTGTAAACGGGTTTGAATCTAACAATCTCATATCAATAACACATGGGCCACTACGAACATAATTCAAACTGGACCAGAGTATTTAATCAAATTGGCAGTGCCTTGTGTCATTCGTCAGAAAAGAAAATGAATGGGCGGTGGAAAAAGACGCACGTGAGCAGGTTCAGGGGTTCAGTACTCTATGAGACTATGACCATAAAAAAATGCATCAACCTGGGTTGGGCTCAGCATTTTTCTTACCAGTACCGCAAGCACTTGTCCCTGACAGCCTCTGACTTCCTGAAAGCTTCAGGATCAATTCAGGCGGGCAGAGGTAGTCGCAGCCTTGTTCGTCCCTCGAACTTGGAGGAAAGGATGCCACATACTCAAGTTTGGCATCTGCTGATCCACACAAAAACAACCAGGTCAGCGGAATAAAATATACCGGTGCAATTAGCCCGTCAGATTCCAGCATACTCCTTTTTTTTTTTGAACGTACTGGCAGGAGCTCTGCCTTTCAATTAAGATTGGATAAGAAAGTTTTATGTACAAGCAAAGGCAACTAGGTTAAAGTCCCCCCCCCCTTAAGCATGCGAGCTAAATGCAATCGAGCGCTCTCTTCCTTTGCTCAATGTCTTCCTTAATCCTTGCGGCTAACTGCGGCACCGTTTCACTCCTATTGTCGAAAATTCTCCTGTTTCTCTCTTTCCATATATTCCAAAAGGTGTAGATAGCTACTCCGTTAAGCCTTCGACGCTCCGCTCTTGGCGCTTTTGCCGCCACGTCTTCCCACCATGACTTGATATGGGTGGGGTTTGCATTTTGTTGTTGGATTTGAGTGAAGTTTTCCCACGTGAGAATTTGATTCCAAACCGCCTTTGCAAAAGGGCAAATAAGGCATAGGTGGAGGCTTGTCTCTAAAGGTCCATTGCACATCACGCACTGTTGTTGGTGAGGCCACCCTCTTTTTTGTAGATTTTGTGCCGTTAGAATTTTGTCTTGTACTAAGATCCATGCGAAGATCTTGCATCTGTTCTCCACATGCGCTTTCCAAATCAAGTCCGTACCAAAGTGGAGGAGCGAACCTCTAAATTGTATTACAGAGGCCGATCGGGTGGAGTAATTCCCATCGTTGGTCCAACGCCAGTGATGGTGTCTGGATGCCCTGTTGTAGGTGCACATCACTGTATGCGTATCCAGAGGGACACAAACTCCTCTATGTGGATGGGCGAGGTGATTTTCCTTGCAAGTTTATGCATCCAATTGTTGTTTCGGAGCTCTTGCTGCACCGTTCGGTTTGTCCTTGAGAGTAGGCGGAATAAGTTGGGGGCTAGGTACTTAGGAGCTTGATCATCGAGCCAACCGTGGTGCCAAAACTTTGTCTTTGCACCATCCCCCAAGGAAATAATGATTGAGGAGTTGAAGAGAAGGCGGTCATCCTCAGTACATGGAAGCTCTGAGCCGCTCCAAGATTTGGAGTCGTCCACCCAATCGTGCCATAGCCATCGTAAACGGAGGGCTCGCCCAAATCTTTCGAGGTCCGGGACCCCTAACCCTCCCATGTCTTTCGGCCTGGTAACCGTTTGCCAGTTAACTAGACAGTGGCCGCCATTTGCATTCTCGTCCCCCTTCATTCCAGCATACTCCTGCTATCTATTGACGTAACAAACTTTCAGCATCTCTGGGATGTCAGTAACAATTGAACTGCAGTCTCAATAGTTCACAAAGAGAATGCAACCTTTGATTATTACGATAAAACTGAAAAAATACGGCACAGGAATCTAATGTCTGAGCCTAATTGGTAATTGTCTGCACGCAGATGCTAAAGCAAACAAAAGACATGTTCTCCTGGTCCTGTAATGCAAGGGAGATGTGTCATAAACAAGTTACGCATTTGCATGACAGGCAGACACAGCAGCGACAAGAAACCTTTTGAGCTATGCCAGCCTCATTCTAATCTTCCAATCCTACCAAATCATAGCCTAACCCATGCACGTATACCTCTGACAGGCCCCCACCATGAGGTGAGAGGCCAAAGCCACATGGACTACAGATGGAAATACCTGGAACACTGCAAAAAAAAAAAAAGGGCAGACCCAGTGCCGGAGGCTCCCACATGAGTGGGGTCTGGGGAAGGGAAAAACCGAGGCAAGCCTTCCCCCCGCAAAATCTACGGAGAGGCTGCTTCGAACCCGCGACTTGGTGACTCAGTGAGACAGTTCTCACCACTGCACCAGGCCTGCCCTTCAAATACCTGGAACACTGCATTGCAAGCAAATGTTTTCCCCCTGGCTTTGGTAGCAACAGAAGGTACAGAAATAGTTGAGAAAGTTATGAGGAACAGTTGGAAGGATAGGCTGCCTTTCCAATTTAAAGGCACTGCCATCCTTTCTTCAGCCCCATGACCAGCTTCCACAGTCACAAGCAACCACCTTGTATAGTTCTTAGCCTCATGGAATTCAACCCCTACCCTGCATTGTCTGCCCTTTGAAGAGAGAGACGAGAGGGCTTGGATGCTCTTCTCAGGCTGCAAGTCAAGGAGTGAGAACAAGAATGCCTCTTCGAAGTTGGGCTGTTGAGGTGTTCTGAAGAAGTATTAGCATGTGTCGGCGTGTGCTCCCTCAGTTCTCTCATAATTTCGTCTTCCTTTCCTTGTGTTGTCTTTGGCCTCTCTTTCTGTGTCCCTGCACTCTCTTGTTATGGAGTCCTTCAGTGACAATGCTGAAGAGTGCAACAGTAACGAATCTGGGTGGACGATGTACCTGGGCTCCCCAGTGAATAGTGATGATCTCAAAGCCAATGGCAGCAAAGGGAGTAATGTTGGCAGTGGCTGTAGCAATGGTAAAAGCAAAAACGACGACATGGATTCTGATGATGGAGATTATGATTCGTTAGCTTCCGATGCTTCCACAGGACCAGCTCAAGTGAAGGTGCTTAATGGCAAAGAAAAGAAAATTCATGAGAAAAGAGACAATTCCGTCCATGAACACGATAGCGGTGAGCAAGGTGAGATACGTACCAAGCTCGCTAACAGCTGTGACAAAAAAGCAGGCAAGATGAAAAAAGGAGAAGAGAAGACCACTAGAAGGGGCCACAACAAGAGACGTAGTTCTTGTTCTTCGCGAACAAGCTTCTTTAAGTAACTGTTGTAGAACCCTTGTAGATGTCTCTCGACCATTTACAATCTAGCTAAAATCTCTGTAGAAGCATGGGGAATGCAAAGCTTTTGGGATCTTAGGGCAAATATGTACCCCTTACATACTCTTATTAGCCATCCTCATAGCATCATATAAAAAAATGCATGTATTTATATAGATATTAACAGAGCACTCTCTCCAGATATATTTCGAAGGTTGATCTCTACTTAATTGCTTTTTACTGTTCTTCCCAGTATGTGTAGAGTTTGAAATGTCTTTATATGGCTGCAAAGTGGCAATTTTACCAAGAGAAAGAGCTAATAAACTCTATGAAAGAGAGAGATTTATATTGCCGATGAAGCATCCAGAGTAAATCAACTGACACAAGGGTTTCATGTTTGGCTGTTAAACATGCGAATTAAACAATGCACATACTATTTATATGAGATGTAAATCTGGAAAGAGACTGATTACAAAAACTATAGTACAAAGTACAAACATCTAGTTTACAAACCAATATAAAGAAACATACACATGTGGTACAAGAGCCTATAGCTATCACCTGATGTGTGCAATCGACTACTCTTTGCATCTGCAAGTGCTCTAAAGCAGTCGATTAAAGCACCTCCTTCTCTGCAATTGATGTGGAGGAATTAGACCAGCAACAGTATTACCATCCCTGAAATAGAGCAAGAAAGCCTTATTAAAGGGAATGGTAAAGAGTTGAAGCATTTGATTGAACTAGTGGATACAAGGTGAACCAAACAGTATCTAGGATGAAAGATGAAAGTCAATATGGACACTTCATGGGCATACAACAAATCTACAATGTCAACTGTCATGATAAATGCTAGTTCATTATCACTGCTCATAATGTGTGCCTTGTAATATTCATCTTTGTACAGAATCCTTGAACATATTACATACACAATTCAAGAAAAAAGGAATCTTCATACAGCAAAGTTACCCAGAAAGGATTGTCATAGTATCTGAATGCCCAAACTACAATATAGAGGTATCACAGTCCTTGACAGGTAGGCAGATGCAGGACCTCTGAAGCTCCATAGGCACAATCTTCGGTGAATGTCAATCAGGATCTTTCACCCTGAATTATCTACTAGGGGACCAATCACAAGAAAGACAACCAGTGCAACATGGGAGACGCAAATTCCCAACCTAGTAGGTTAGTTTGTGAAATGTTCAGAAATTGCAACTATAGGTACACATTTGGCAACTTATAGAGCCAAAATTTCAGCACCACAGAGGAGCCAATATCAACACTTTGACTAACCATGATCTGTGCTGAAAAATTTCTCCGTATGCCAGCTCATGCCCATGCCAGGAACCATCAGCAAAACATTGTTACATTGATGCTTGGACCAAATCATCAGAACCATCCCAGGGTAGGAACCAACAGCTGGCTGTGAAATAATTGTTTATTTGCTCAGCATCGAAGCAAGAAGACTACTCGACTCATTCTGTTTATGATTCAGCATCGGTGAGCACAATGGGATGATTCGATGCTTCAATGCTCTCTCCCTTCTTTCAGCATCGGTACAAAACTGACGTTGTGGCTAGTCTTATGGGTAATCTACCTCATCGAGTGTCATGGTAGATAGTTGTTCCAGTTGAGTGTTTTTTTTTCAGTTTCAGTCCAGTTTGTTCCATAAACAAGTAAGGTGTAGTGTGAGTTTATGTAAAAAAGAGCGTACCCAGTGCAGAGAGCTCCCGCTCTGTGCGGGGTCTGGGGAAGGGTGTCAGTGGCAAGCCTTACCCTCGCCTGTGCAATGCGAGGAGACCGCGACTCGAACCCGGGACCTTCCGGTCACAGGCGGTAAGACTCTACCGCTTGCACCAGGCCCGCCCTTCATAGTGTGAGTTTATGTCTTGTAAATATTCTCTCTCCTTCTTAATGCAATGATGTGCAGTCGTCCTGCGTATCTGAGAAAAGAAGTGTCATGGTAGATGCTAGTTCATATCCCTCTGCTGATAACGTGTGCCTATAGCAGTATAAACCTTTACCTTTCTATGGAAACCTTGAACATACACAATTCAACTGAAAAGGAATCTTCATACATCAAAGATTCAAAGTTACTCAGACAGGATAATCTTGAGTAGTATATGAATGGCCCAAACTGGAATATAGAGATACCACAGTCCTCAACAGGTGGACAGGACCTGTGAAGGACCATAGGCACAAATGGAAGGAGCTTTTCACTCTGAATTATCTACTGGGGAACTAGTCACAAGAAAGAGTAAAAGACAACCAAGGCAACATGGAAGATAAAATTCACTACCTACTAGCTTAGTTTGTGAAATTGTTCTGCAAACATATGTACACATCTGGCAACTGCTAGAGCCTAAATTTAAATTTCGGGATCACAGATGAGATTGCTTCAATATCCCATTTAGTAGTTAGTACGGCCTTTTCGTCTTATATACAAAAAATGGAGGGTGGAGATTCTAATGCAACGCAGCACAATGCACACTCAAATGCTAGGGAGATAGCGGTTAACATTCCTGAATGATCTCATTTTCCCATCTACAGTTCAGAAACATAGCACCGAGCGCCATTGTTCAGTTCCACACAGAATAAGCATAGACAGCGCAGACGAATTTGTTCCAAAACCCAGGCTAGTGGCCACGAAATGAACCCAGTGAGATCGGGAAACATGCGCGTACGATTAGGAATGTACCCAGAGGTTGCGGCGCGGTGGTGCCGGCTATGACGCCGCGGTGGGTTTAGAGTGGTGGAGGAACGCCGCGGAGCATAGCACGGTGGTGACGAGGGCGAAGAAGGCGAGCGCCACCGCCAGCGACATCCCGGCCACCGCCAGATCCAGCGCCAGCTGCGCGCCGTGGAACACCACGCCCAGCGCCATCGTCCTCGGTTCCCCTCCCTGCTTCCCGTCGCCGCTCTCTAGCACGCGGTGGTGTCCAGCTCGGTCCTCTCGCTCAAGCCTGCGCCCTATTTCATCGCGACGCGCGAGGAGGGAGAAGGGCCGGGGGGCGGGGTGGAATGGAAGAGAAGCGGCGGGTGACACGTGGCGCGGCGAGGGGCGGGAGCGGAGGCGGCGACACGACCACCTGGACCTGCACCAGACCCAGACACGCCCGTGCCGCCTGCGACTTGCGAGCCGTGACCGTGACGACACAGCTGACCGCGCGGTGGAGAGAGAGGAGAGCAGGATCGCGTCCGAGTGTCCGACCCGACCAGGACCAGAGCGGACGGAGACGGACGCCCTGCACCTCCCTGAGACCGCTCGCGGTAACGACCGCCGTTCACCAATCATCTGCTAGTGCCCTAGTACACCACAACCGGAGCTCGTGCTGTCTTTTGGTCTGGAATCTGGATAAACCCCGGTCATTCAACGGCCTGTGGGGAACATCTCATCTTCCCAGAAATTCTGAAGCTGAACTCTGGAACTTCTGATTCTTTTTTTATCAAAAAACATACAGCATGCAACGATATACAGATGGACAAAGGATCAACCGTTTTGGTGACCAGAAATTGACCGTTCGGAGCACGGAAATTCTCTCAAATACCTATAAACAAATTCATCCATTCAAAAACGGGGAAATTATTACATCTCAAAAGAGGGAAACAATTATTTCAATCCAGAAAAGATACTCTCCTTTCCGAGTTCCAAATTATAAGATGTTTTGCCTTTTTTAAATGTTACTTTTACTATGTATATAAATGTATATTGAATCTAGAAAAGTCAAAACATCTTATAATTTGAAACAGATGAAGTAAATTACCATACAATTAAAAAGGTGCAGAACCAGACGGAAAGAGGAGGAACCAGACGGAAAGAGGAGGAAAACCAAGTGGATGATAATTATAGACAAATGATCTATGACTGAGATGGAATAATGTCATGTTGGTCTGTTATTCGAGCAGCTACAAAGTGCAGCCAAACGGGATGAACAAAACGACCTGCCAGAAAACAACTGATGTACAACAAAGACCAACCCAGTACCACGGGGTAACAGGTCAATCAGTGATATCAGATTCATCACCATCCTTCTACAATCTACCTTTGTCAGAATAAATTATAATTATAACATCATCGTTCCAAAATCCAAACACCTTCAAAACAACCAGAACAAGTTTTGGGTTCCAGCTATTGTACCTTGTAACACCTCTTATTCTTCTGTCACTGCCATGTGACTCGATCTTCGTCACCGTCATACATGTTCCTACAAATTTTGCAAAGCTAATGCTCCCGACAGCCAGTACAATCAAGTGAGCAACCTATCAAGTAATATAAAGAATCGGATCATAGAGCTGTTGGCCTAGAAGCCTGAAAACGGTACAACAAGGCCAATAGGTCAGCCCCTTGCCAAAGGGAAGGAAATGATAGACCGCTGCATGTTTCATGATCAAGCTTCACGATAGGTAGGGAGGCCTGATCGCACTGCAATCATGTTAGGTAGGTAAAAAAAAAACATCGACTGGCTTCCAGCAAAACAGAACACAACATTGTCATCATACTTAACAGAGAGATTTGCCTTCATTCTGTGAGCCCCTAGACAGAGACCAATGACTCTGCTCTGTCTCAGTAAGCTTCCCGGTTAAGTGGATTCCTTCACCAAGATTTGGGAACATCCGAGGGGTTTATATGTGGTCCCTTGTTAGCATCATACGAGGATGCCAGCCTCCTTGCCCAAAGACTCTCCTCTGGTGACCAAGATATGGTGGCACCCATTGTGGCACACCATCTTAGGTTCAGTAAAGCCGTCGCGAGAAATTCTTCACCAGCTTGGAATGCCCTTATGATCCTTAATTCAGCATCAGGCTCTTCACTGAGGATTAGATCTTCAAAAACAATTCTTTTCTCACTAAGAATGCTGACATCCTCAGATATCATTCTCATGCTGAGGACTAGCAATGCCGCAATTGCAGTATTGTACAGTTCATGCTCCTCGTAGGCACAAAATGTGTACCAAAGTGTTGATGGGTCAGGTTGGATTTTTGCTCGGTGTATACACTCCACAATATATTCAAGGACATGAATTTGACCCTGTGAAGAATGTCCAAAATGAGTTTAACTTCAGCATCACTATAGTAGGGGAAGAAAAATATATGATTTCTATCATAAACATACTCTAGCATATGCACGTGAGAGTACTGTGTTGAAAATCTGTATGTCAGGCTGAAGTCCTTCAATCTTGCATATATCAAGCAGATCCAGAGTCCCTTCAAAATTATTATTTGCTAATACAACCTATCTTACATCATGAAAAAGACATGAAATCAATCGGACCACTAAAAGTCAACCCAACTAATATGTAATCGGTAATATGATAGATCTAAAAGACATGTATTATTCTTAGCCAGACTTACCTTCAGGAGTGATGTAAAAGTCACAACCTTAGGATTGAAGCCATCTCGGAGCATCAAAGACAGCAAAGCACTAGCTGATCTGAAACATGGCAACCATTTGCAGCACTCTATCATGGTATTATAAATTGAAATATTAGTTGGAAGGCTGCATGATCTCATGATTTTGAAGATAATTACTGCTCTGTGAGTCTGCAAACCAGAAAAGAAACATGGATCAAGATTTATAACACAACAAGTTCAATATCTGCAAAATGCAGTCATGCAATGAAATTTCAGTTTGGCACCAAAGTACCAAACCAACATGAACCAGTTCCCATACGAAAACTTTGGCAATATACAGTCTATGGAGTGTTGTAGCACTCTCCCTCCACTGCAAATTGTAAGTTGTTTCAGCTTTGTCCTAAGTCAAACTTGTCTAACTTTGACTAAGTTTATAGAAAAGTACATTACCATCTGCAATATCAAACTATATACCATGGTGTGTCTAATGAATCTAGTTTGATGCTGTAGATGTTTATGCATTTTTCTATAAACTTAGTCAAAGCTAGGGAAGTTTAACTTAGGACAAAGCTAGAACGACTTACAATTTGGAACAGAGGGAGTACATTCAAATTTCAACAAAAAAAAACTCCAAATGTACTACAGCTTTTGATAGAACAAAAAGAAAAGAACTGCATGCTATATAATCCGTAACACATAAACAATCTGAACCTGAATTTTGCAAATAAGCAAGTAAAGTGAATGAATCTTGAATTATTTAGAAATTTTTTTATTATTGATTCCATGCCCAATTTAGCGGTGATTGCTTAACACTGTAACTAAAATTTCTTTGGTGGTTGCATAACACCGTAACTACAACATAACTGGTGACTGCACTTGGGATCTCCCCATCAAATTCAGCGAGATTAAATGAGCCAAAATAACTGTTACAACTAGATTTACATGCTTTACAAAGAGGAGAGATAAAATAATCCTCATTTTGTCACATCGGAACAAACTTAATAGGTTGCTGATACGTACTTCCTTCGCATCAACCAGAGCATGCAACGCAATGCTGTATAGATCACTCTTCTGATAAGGATTTATGTTCCACAAAATATTTTCTGCTATATTCAGGTACCTCAGCATTTCCTCTATCATCCCCTCAGATCCAAAAGCTCGTATCTGAAACAGAATAAATAGAACATTCAAAGGATTTTTCAGCATAAGAAGCACTGAGGGATGTGACTGGCAAGTTAAGCCACAACCAATACCAGAAACTTTTATAGATGATAATTCAATCAGTAAACTGTCTGTGAGAACTAACTGGCAAGATTTTGGGTTATGACATCCAGTGGGAACTAGCTGGCGAGAAAATATTCAGACTTTTGACAAAACAACAATGATATGTCCTTGTTCAGATGGTGCTTCCAATTACCATAAAAATATACTAAATTGACCACTGGAAATAGTAGTGGGCTTATTACCTTTAAGTAATAACTGTCACAGTTCACAGGGAATTTTAGATAGAAACAGAGAAGATTAAGACAAGTATAAATCAGCTATTTTCCTATTCGGACAAGTTAAAGCATGATGTGGACAATGTGAAAAGGCCAACAAATGGAATTGGTTTCTAACTGGATACATACTATTGCCAAATATCTTAGATCTCTACAGGACATGGAAAGAAGGCTTACCAAGTTCTTCATAGACACAAAGCTGTGTTGGATTCCATTGTTAAACATGTCCATCTCAATGATACTTATCCTTTTGGAAACATCAACATGAGAGAGCACATTTCCTTCTTCATAAGGGACATTTACATTTCCAAACAGAGAAAACAAAAGTTCATATGTCCTGAGAGTTGGCTTCATGTTCACATGTTTCATTTTAGCTAGTATGCTTTACAGCTCTTTCTGGTTCATTCTGCCAAGAAAGCGGGGAGGGGAGGAGAGGTTTAGTTCATTCTTCTTATTAATGAAAGAGAAACTTTAATTTGACAGGCTGGTGCAGTGACAGCTATAGAAAACTACTTTCTGTGGATGTGGACGTTATGTAGAGCATCAAGCATTTGAAGATTCAGCGGAAGGGACAGAAACCCAATATCATAAAATCTATTTCCAGATTCAACGCATTACCATAATCGCACATCCAGAAAGCAAAGCATTAAAGGCATGAAGATGCTTTGGTTTTATCTCTGAAATTCTTTCCAAAAGTTCCTCAGCCAAATCCAACTGTGAACTATTGCTATGACCTACTGAGAGAGCAGCAAGTGTATCACTGTAAAGTCCAATGCCCCTTCTCTCCATGGCTTTAATCTGGAAAACATATGAATATAAGATATACGTGAGAAAATAATGCTATCTCCAAATAAAATTGATATTGTCCGGATATGTGGACTGTGAAGTCAAACCTTTCAAATTTTCAATACATGTAAAAGTATTTAAATTTGTCGCGTAAAAGTGATAATATAATATTAAAGTGCTGCTATATTATAGTTTTATTGTTTTGTTGACATATAGAAAATGTAATAGCCAGACATGCACACTCAAGACCAACGATGTCTTAAGCAAGTAAAATGGACCATAGTTAGAGGACATAATAGCAATATTACAGGTATAGCTCAATTTTGCATAGTGGCTTTTGAGGAGAGTAGGTAAAAATATTCTTAACATTGCAGTATTCTTAATAATAATTGGACAGAGTCTAAATCTACTTTAAGGCCTTGTTCGGTTAGGCCATTCCCCGCGGGGATCCCGGCCCGATCCACAGGGATGCTCCCGAAGCAGATTCAAGCCCGGCTCACTGTGAAAGTGGCGTTTGGTTAGCCGACCCGAGGATTCTGCCCCGTCCTATTCTAGGCGATTACCCTCCACCCTAGCCTGGTTTCCACACACTCCGCATGAGTCACGGAACAATTCCCCATGGAGGCGAGCGCACAACCTGCTGCCAGGTCGCTAGGTCCTCGCATCGTTGCGGAGGGCTCACGACGGCTGGAGCGCTTCAAGGGACGCGTCGGCCACGAGCGCCGAGGGGAAGCATCGCCGCGGAGGCGAGGTACAACGGCATCTCGGTGGCGGCAAGATTTGGAGGCTTCGACAACGGCAACGCGGTGATCTTCACGGCGGTGGCCGTCCCCTCTGGTAGCCACCTTCTCGCCTGTAAGTTTCCCCTCACCTCTTCAATGCTGTAGGGTTCTTGAGTTGACAAGCACACCGGGCGACCTCCGCGTTGACCAGTGAGGCAATGTTCTGTCTGTCTCCGTTCTACCTAGTTCAGCGGTCGGTTCTATGACGCTTTTTCGATCCAGCTCGGTTATTTTTATCCGCGAGAGATTAATTGGTTTATTCATTATTTTCTTAACACCGGCAAGGAAAACTCAATTTTGTGAATTCTATTTTCATCCCTGACTATTATGAGCGCTTCTACTTGTGAATTTTCAGTATGAATCTCATAATTACACAAGCTAGAACAGTAGGCATAGGCATTGTTTGTATGAGAGCTTGCAACATACTGAATATTCAGTTTATGCATCAGTTCATCATTGAATGTTAATGCATCAGCATGCGGCCTATGCATCAAGCTATCACGATTAACCATAATGTTTCGATTTCAATGGCTTTTCTCCTTTTTGCTTCTAGCGATCTCTGTTAGACTATTACTATGTTTGAGTTACCAGACATCTCCCCAAGTCTCAAGCAAACTAGTGCAAACCAACCAAGACCAATCTAGATTGCTGAATCTACAAAATAATCATTAGTATGCATGTCTGACCAGTTCATGTTTATTCTACTATTACTCAGCTTTAAACATATTTTTTCTTGGCATTTTATTAAAAAGAAGCTGCATGGAGTTCTAAATTAACTGATAGTAAGTTTACTCATGAATTTTAATGTTGGCATGTCAACATACCCTTGGAGATTGATTAGGCAATGGTATATTATGAAGTGGGAGTAAAGTTCTTTCAGGCCTATCTGTCTACTCTTCATTCTTCTACTTTTTGTTGTCACATATCTTGCAGACAGCCAGACACTGGTTTCAGTACTACTAGTTCTTGCATGCTTCTGAAGCTGTTTGTGTGTGATTTCCGAATGCCGATTGTGATTGCTCTCTATATAGTGTCGAGTTATCTTATTATTTGTTTAACCATAGTGCCACTGAATGTATAAATGATGTTTCGATTTGTTTGCCTTAACCTCTGAAAAGAGGACAATGGCCATAATTGCAATTTTGTGTCAGTGCAACTGTATCTTTTTAGTGTTTGGTTGCATTGAGGCAAACATGTCTCATACTTCAATTTCATATCGTTTAATTACTCCTCCCTCCGTTCCAAATTATATTCGCTTTAACTTTTTTGGAACATCCATTTTTCTATGTATCTAGAAATATGTTATGTCTAGATACATAGTAAAATGGATGTACCAAAAGAAGTCAAGCGACTTATAATTGGAGCGGAGGAAGTATATTATATGATTGCATATTATTTTTTCATCCCCATATGTGACAATTTGTGTCAGAAACTAATAATTCTTAGGGACCCTAATTCTTTTGTTGGCAGGCATGTACTGGACTAGTTGTTGCGGGAGGAGGTTGACAAGGTGAAGGGTGTTGTTCTGTACACTGCTGTTCTGCCAAATAGCGAAATGTATCATTGTCTAGATCCATGACGAGGATCCATATCTCTCGTCATGTTCAGTTCTTTTGAGATGTACTAGTCTTTTGAGACTTGTAATATTTTATTTATGAGCTTATTGTCTAGATCCATAGATCCATGTCATGTTCTCGTCATGTACAGTTCATTGTCTAGCTAGGTCCATATTCTCATCATCTAATGCTTTATCCGTTACATTTGTCATGCATGTATTAACAGTAAGATGTATGTATATCTATGTAAAAGAGCTGGAACTGTGCTTGACAACCTAATACAACTGAACAGGGAAAGAAGAGAGGATTAACCGAACACCATTTGGACGGAGAGTGAGAATGGGAAAGAAGGAATTTAATCCTCAAGGGGTTTGAGTGACAAGGAAGGGGATCCACTCAATTCCTCTCTGGATTGGTTCCACTTGGGGATTCAATCCCCTCCAACCGAACATGGCCTAATGGAAATCAGAGCAATACAACTAATTGGTTTCATTAAAAATTTAAAAAAAAATGGTGTATGTCATCATCAATTTAGTGAGATGTCCTTTCAGGCTACAGGATCATAAACAGCAAAGCTGCTGGTAGCATACCACTTTGTTGGCATATGCAATTCCTTTCCCAGCTATCACAGTCTTAACAAAGCCGTCATATGTAAAATTTGATGGTTGCAATCCAATTTTTTGCATCTGCAAAGAAACATCAAATTACCAATACAGTTTGTAAACATATGAGAATTTTTGTAAATATTCCCCTATCCATTACCTTTTACACTAATGACACTTAACAAAATTACGAAGAATTCATCAAAATTCAGAATCAAATTTCTCTGCAGGACCAAAATTGTTTGAAGAGTAATGGTTCAAATAGATTTCATGGTCTATGTTGGTGTCCATCTTAAGTAGGTGAAATCAGTCTGGAACTGTGCTTGTGTTGGAAAAAAAGAATAAAGCCCAAATATGTACATAGGCAGGAATGCATAAAGACCCTTAAACAAAGAGGAAAATACATAAACACCTCGCCCCCCCTTCAAACTCAGGGTGGATCAATCCAAACTGAGTTTGGATAAATAGAAACAGTGTTGGGCTCTTGTCTGAGCCTTCGTGAAGAAGTCGGCCAACAGAAGCTGTAAGGGCACAAAGCTTAGTGCAACAACACCATCTTGCACCTGTGCCTGAGTGCAAGAAGCATCAACACCAATATGCTTAGTGAGCCCATGCCTCACCAGATCATGAAAGCAATGCTGAGAGCACCAGTACTGTCAAACAGAAGAGGTGTTGGCACAGAAATAGAGACACCAAAATCTCAAGTAACCACCATAGCCAAGTAAACTCTGCAGTAGCAAGGGCCATAGCTCGCAACTCAGCCTTTGCACTACAGCACTAGAACGAGAAACAGTTGTTTGCTTCTTAGTTGTCTTCCAAGCAATGAGCGAGCCACCAAGAAAAAAACAGTAGGCAGAAAGAGAGTGACGATCGGAGGAGTCGCTAGCCCAAGTAGCATCAGAGTACGCTTGGAGCTGGAGAGAGCTAGAGCGAGAGAAAGAACATCTGACGAGAAATGGTTCCACAGATTAATGCAAAAAAAGGAAGGAGATGACTATATTGGAGCTGAGTGGGAGCAGAAACAAACTGACTGAAATGGGCAGGCCTCCCAACAATGTAGCAGTAAGGGATCAGCAAGAGGCTCACCGTCAATGGGGAGAAGATGAAGATTAAGCTCCATGGGCGTTTCTACAGTGCGCTGATCAGTGAGAGAAGAACGATCAGAAGATCATGAATGTACTTTTCTTGAGACAGATAAAAGCCTCGGAAGAGGAAGAGACCTCAATCCCAAGAAAGTAACGAAGAGGGTCAACATATAGGACAATAAGGGTCTAGCCACAAGATGAAGTATGGATAAACAAGGAAGGATCATGAGTGCTAGGAGAGAAACCAGCAATAGTGACCATAGAGGCAAAGCACTGAAACCAAGCATGAGGCCATAAAGAGATCGGTAAAGACGACAAACCATGCCCTCAGGAACATAGTACCCAGGGGGTGGCTGCATATACACCTCCTCATGCAGTTCACCATTAAGGAAGGCATTCTTCACATCAAGTTGAAAGATAGACCATGCACAAATAGAGGCCACAGCAAGAAGACTTCGACAGTGGTCATGTGAGCCATAGGGGCAAAAGTCTCATCAGAGTCACGCTTGTGCTCCTGCTGAGAGCCATGGGCTACAAGACGAGCCTTATAACGCTCAAGAGAGCCATCAGAGCAAGTCTTTATCTTATAAACCCACTTGCACATGATGGGACGAACATGAGAAGAAAGAGGAACAAGATCACATGTGCCAGTGCTCTCAAGAGCAGTGATCTCCTTGGTCATCGCTTATGGATGACAAATGGCATCACGATAACCATAATGGTCTGCAGGCTTGAGCGACCCACGATCCCGAAGGTTATAACGACTAACGAGAGGATGGCTGAGAAGAAAGATCCTCAGCAGAAGGTAGCTTAGCAGGAGTCACATCCAAAGATGGCATAACAAGAGGCAAAGGACCCTTGATACGTTGGAGATGGCTGCAGGAGTGGATAACAGGCAGATCGGAACCATAAATGGTCCCAAGAGGAGTCGGTAAAAATGGCTGGGGAGAAGGCGCAATAGTAGGACAGTGGGAGAATGAGGTGAAAAGAAAGGGGCTTAACAACAGCGGTTGCTGAAACATCAGAGGGACGAGGGTAGAAAGGGCGAGACTCGTCAGAAGTAACATTATGAGAAATCCGCATGCGACGAGCAACAGGATCCCAACAACGATACCCCTTCTACTCAGCACTATAGCCCATGAAAACACCCAATGTAGTGCGCTCATGGGGTGCAAGAACATAGCACAAACAACCAAAAAGGCGAAGACTTGAGTAGTCAGGTGTCTTGCCCCAGAGGTGCTCATATGGGATTCCACCATGAAAGGCACAGGAAGGCTGAATGTTAATCAAATAAGTGGCAGTAGACACAGTATCAGGCCAAAAATGAGGTGGAACAGAAGAAACAATAATAAGAGCACGAACAGTCTTAAGAATATGACAATGCCTACGCTCAGCACAACATTCTGTGCGTGAGCACCAAGGCAAGATGATAGAGGATGAACTAGCTCTTGTATTCATTCATATTGAGTAAACCAAATTACAGGGATTTATATAGGAGCTAGACTAACACAAGAGAGAGAGGGGGAAGCACACAGGCGACAGCCAGGGAAGATTCCCAGGCATCAGCCGTCTAGCAGCAAAAGGAGAAGTAAATACTAGCAGTAAAGAGGGGGAGTAAGTAAGTGACAGCCAGGGGAGGTTCCTAGGCAGTCAGCTAGTAATAAAGGAAGCAGTAAACATGCTAACACCCCCCCACAGTCGAATCGGCGGGCTCGCTGATATGAAGACTGGAGCGAAAATCTTGGAACACGGAGGTGGGAAGACCCTTGGTGAAGATGTCAGCAAACTAGGACGTCGTTGGTACGTGAAGAACCCAAACATCACCAATGGCGACCCGTTCACTAACGAAGTGGAGATCAATCTCAACATGCTTCGTGTGTTGATGTTGTACGGGATTGGTGGACAAGTATACTGCACTGACATTATCGCAGTAGACCAGTGTGCTCCGAGGCAGTGGAGCATGCAATTCCTGTAGAAGTTGGCGGAGCCAGCAAGTTTTAGCAACTCCATTGGCCACACAGCTGGTATTCAACTTGACACTTGAGCGAGAGACTGTGTTTTGGCGTTTTGAAGACCAAGAAACCAGATTGGCGCCAAGAAACACAGCATAGCCTGAAGTGGAGCGGCGAGTGTTGGGACACCCAGCCCAATCGGCATCAGTATAGACCACAAGTTCAGAAGGAGTGGAGGGCTGAAGGTGCAGGCCATGGCTGAGAGTTCCCTGAAGATAGCGGAGAATCCTCTTAACAGCAGACAAGTGAGGTTCGCGAGGATCATGCATGTGAAGGCATACTTGTTGAACAGCATAAGCAATGTCTGGTCTTGTGAAAGTAAGGTGCTGCAGGGCTCCTGTAAGACTGCGATAGTGGGTAGGATCAGTGACAGGAGCACCTTCAGTAGCAGAAACTTTAGCATGAGTGTCCACAGGCGTGCTACACGGTTTGCAATCCATCATACCAGCACGTTTGAGGATGCCAATGGTGTACTGCTGTTGTGACAGGAAGAGACCACCTGAATGTTGCGTGACTGAAATGCCCAAAAAATGATGCAAAGGACAAGTTTTTCATGGAGAATTCTTGTTGCAAGGCAGTGATAGTGCGGCGGAGGAGAGAAGCACTGGAGGCAGTCAGAACAATGTCATCCACATAGAGTAGTAGGTAAACAATCTCATTGCCTCGGTGGTAAATGAACAGAGAGGTGTCAGCCTTTGCTTCAACAAACCCGAGAGACAAGAGGTAGGTGGCAAACCGGCTGTACCAAGTGCGAGGTGTCTGCTTCAGACCATACAGAGACTTGTTGGGGCGGCAAACATGATCAGGAAGAGCAGTGTCAATAAATCCAGTGGGTTGGCAACAATAGACAGTCTCGGAGAGGGTGCCATGGAGGAAGGCATTCTTGACATCCATTGTTGTTGGAAACGGTTCCACTCTTCCTGTGATAGCTACGGGTGATGCTGTCCTTCCAGGAACCTTTTGTCTTAATAATGTTCTTGTTGCTCCGATACCATGATAGAGGATGAACTATCCCTTGTATTCATTCATATTGAGTAAACCAAATTACAGGGATTTATATAGGAGCTAGACTAACACAAGAGAGAGAGGGGGAAGCACACAAGCGACAGCCAGGGAAGATTCCCAGGCATCAGCCGTCTAGCAGCAAAAGGAGAAGTAAATACTAGCAGTAAAGAGGGGGAGTAAGTGACAGCCAGGGGAGGTTCCTAGGCAGTCAGCTAGTATTAAAGGAAGCAGTAAACATGCTAACACAAGAGAACTGAGGAAGAGTGCCCTGCTCAAATAGGAACTACCGTAGAGCGCCCGAAAGATACTCCCCAACAGAGTCAACATGAAAAACACGAATAGAAGTCTCAAACTGAGTACGGATCATCTTGGCAAGAGTCTTATAGATGGATAAAGTCTCACTACAATGTTTCTTGAAGTAAACCCAGGTGAATCGAGAGAAATCATCTACAAATATAATATAGTAATGATGGCCCCCTTTCTAAACAAAGACTGCTGAATCCCACACTGCCACACATAGAGTGAATAACATCAAAGGGACACTTCGAAACTAGCCCACTAGAATGATATGGAAGCTCTGTTTGCCTAGCTTACAGCCCTGGCACTGGTCCAAGGATACATTGAGTGTTAGCTGCATGATCAGATTGGGAACATAAGAGACACTAGGAACATGAAAAGAGGAGGACAATAGAGTGCCATGTCCGGCAACAGAAAGAGATGAGCCATCAGTGGTCTGAAGTCTGAACAGTAATAGGAATAGAAGTACAAATAGAAGAAAGACTGGTACGATCAGGAGTCATGTGGAAAGAAGCAGCCAAGCTATTAGTAGCACCACTGCCAACCCTATGAGGAACAACCACCTCAGCAAGAGTGAGCCTTCTTTCTACAGTGAAGTCCACCAGTGCCACCACTCCTCAGAGAGGATACCACTGAAAAGGGCACTGTGGGCGGAGTGGCAATAAAGCCAAAAGGTACAGAACGAACAGCCAAGACAAACAAGCAGGCTGACTGAAGCAAACCAGCAGACCGAAGACGGGTCTCCCCATTATGAACAGCAGAGCCTCCATCAGGGACACACAGGGCTCACGAGCAAGTAACTGAGCACGAAGAGGCTCAAACTCTGCACAAAAACGAGTCAGAAAGTCATAGGTACGCCAAAGCTCAAGGTGAGTCTGCTGCTTCGAACAAGGTTCACAAGTGGCAACGGACAACTGAGGACCAAGAGTGTCAAGCTCACAACATGCCGATAGCTGGTTAAAGAACTCCTGAACAGTGGCATCACCCTGCTGCAACAACTGCTCCTGCCGTAAAGCCGCAATGTAGGTGGAGTGACCAGAAGGCTCGTAACGCTAACAAAGAAAAGTCCACATCTGAGGATGCATGGTCAAACTGAATAATATCTGCAGCTAAATGCTCCTCCATACTAGCAGTGAGAACAGCACCTGCACAGGCATCCTCATCTAACCAAGTCCAGTATGCTGCAAACTAAGACCTGTAGGAGGCCATGTCATCATCATACACATTCCCCTTCACCCCCGACCCCCACCCCCTCAAAGCACAGATGGGCAGCGCAGCACAGCGCCGCAACGAGACGGACGTGTCTGCTACCTCCCTGCATCAGCCAGCACAGCAGGAACAGCGGGGCAATGGCAGGCTGGAGGAACCACACTGGCCATGCAGTGGCGATGAACAACAGGTGGACCCTAGAAGCTGGCTCTATACCATGTTTGGAACTGTGCTTGTATTGAGAAGAAGGGCTAAAGCCCAAATATGTACATAGGCAAGAATGCATAAAGATCCCTATACAAAGAGGAAATTACATATACACCTAACAAAATCAAACACAAAGTTAGAAAAAATAAATGTCCAGTAAGCAAGGTTGCTATCCTCCATCAACGAAATAGCACCCCTCCTATCCTAAGATCAAACACAGTGCAGCAGAGGAACCAAACAAGTTAGCAAATGCAATGTTGCCACACGGAATTTCTACCATCTAAAAGATAGAAATGTTCAAAGTTTCAGAGAAATATTTAAGGTTAAGTTCAACGCATAGATTGCATGGCCATTATATAGACTGGAATATAGGTGTATATATTTGTTACCTCTGTAAATAAATGCTCAGCTAACTGACAGTTGTTAAACTGTACACATGCATACAAAAACATCATTGAACGCATACATCTCAAAATTTGTTTTACTGCACTTGGTGCAGACTTCAATGTATTTGCAACACCATCTACTCCAACCTTATAAGAAAGATTGTTGCCTGAACAAAGCTGAAACAAAATAAGTTTTATATATCTCATTGGGATGATGACTACACTAATATAGTGGATGGTGTATGAAATGGAATGCAGACCTGACCGAGTTTTCTCCTCAAATAGCTCAGGCTGAGCATCAACCAAATGTTAAGCCAGTAGCCAGCTTCCCTTGACATGATGGCAGGGTGAGATCTTCAAATTCATTCAAAGCAGGTACAGGAATGTCTAGTCTCGATGACTGGTATCTTCTTTTAGAAGACACCCTCAGATAGTCAGAGCTTACGTGCAGCAAGGGCTACCATATGCTGCAAGATGTGATATGCAGATTGAAGGTCACCTAAGCGCAGATTAAAGCCCTTATAAGTCTCCTTTGCATGATAATGCTTGGGCTATAATACCTACAGCAGTCCTTCCAGATATCATAAGTTGCAGGCAAATTTCCTGTAACACTGCAAGCTAAAAACACAAAACAAACTAATAAGCGAAGCTGCCACAGTATTATATAAAAATGAATTAATTATGCTAGAATGAACATTCAGGCTGAAAAAAATCAAACAAGCAATCTGTCACAACATTAGTTCTATTAGCATGTAAGGACAAGTATGTCTTCCAACGACCACGGTACATAAATATATAGTGATGGCTACTGCATATATAAATGTAGTATTTCATGAAAGACACAAAATAAAAGGGCACGAGAATTTTCGCATGAGTAAACTAAAATTGGATCAGTAACAATACTAAGAAAAAAATGATTAAGGAAATACTATGGATTTACAGTCATTTTATACTGATTTATTCAGGATGAGGTGAAAGCCACACAGATAAAACAATATGCGAAAAGGGAACTACTTAGGCAGCAGCATGTTAGTATTTTTAAAAAATGGACCAAGGAGGAAGCAATATATGATGAACAATTTGATATGAAAGTAGGCTTGCGGCCACAACAGAAAAGTCAGGTGAGTTGATATTAAATGGGCATATAAGAAAGAACATTTCTTCGTACAAACCTTCAAAAGCTCACAGTATGTTATTTCAGACTTCCCAAGAAAAAGATTTTCCAGTATCTCAAGACAGCATTCAGCATCCTTCAGATTTTCTCTACTTCCACAGGCATTTAGAAAGATATTAAAAATCGGTATAGTGGCATGAGTGCTTTCTTTCTCCCCAAGAAGAGCCAGCCAGTGAAGTGCCTATATAGGAAAGAAGATTCTGAACTTGCAGACTGCATGGAGCTAAACTATTCATTAGGCTGTCAAACATACAGCACACATAAAAGAAATTAAATTCCACTGGATCACGCAGAATTTGTGTTAAAAGAAGAAAAATTAGTAATAAACTTACCCCAATACGCATCAACTCATCAAAGTAACACATTAAAAAGGGTCAAAATCTTTTAAATGTGTAGACAAGCATGTGATTAAGCCTGTCTATCTTGTATTTCAAATGGTAATACAGTGTGCAGTATGCTTATTTTTTCCATAAACCAGCGTTATGTTTGTTTAATAATTTTATGAGACACTTGAGCAGCAGAATTTACAACTAACTTTCCAATTCACCTCTCTTACAAATGAAAATTTAAAAATACACAGAAGTTCCTGCAAGCTATCAGTGCGCGGGCAAATATTTGTAGCCATACCCTTGCACAAAAGGGTGGCGTGACAACAAAAGAAGCAGCAACAATAAAGCCTTTAAATCCCAAGCTGGGCTAGCAAGGACAAGTCGAATATAACGGACCCACTCAACCAGTACCCCGAACGTGGGTCTGTTATCTATGGTGCATCATTTATGGCATTTGGACCAAACATCCAAGCTAGTATCACAAGGAAATGGAAGCTTTGCCATGATCTTGCGGTCTGTTTATCTTTAACAAAAGAATATGATGTGCTACTAATATTGCTATTAGCTTGAGAAAAGAGAAGTACTACGTACCTCCTTCTCATATCCCCCTCTGCTCAGAGCTCTAATGACATATCTGTAGATACTTTTACTCATGCCAATGGCCTTCTCCTCCATGAGTTCCAAAGTTTCCATAACAAACTAGAAATAATGGAAAAGCTCCAAATGGAGTTCTAATCAAAATGACTGTATCAAAGTCATGCTGTGGTAAAAAAGAAAAAAAAACATGCATTTAACAGTAGACTTACCAAAGGATCAGGTGCCTCTGCACAATACTCCAATATATAAGAAAAATCTTCCTTGGTCAGTGCTTCCTTGGTGTGATGAAAGTTCGAAAGAATCAACGATGCTCGCTGCCGGTCACCTCTACGGAGAGCATTGACAACTTCTGATTGCATGGGTCTAACAAAACTAGTCTTCCATGTAAAATCATCATACTCTGTAATCACTGTAACATTGTTTACATACTGATACGCACAAAATTCACGTACAAAAATTCTGCTAACTGAGGGTAATATTCAGCTCGGAGACCATGATAAGATGAAGCAAGCATGGTATATCAAAGTGAAACTTGCTGTAGGCAGAGAACAATCAGTTATACCAGGCAGTGAGCCAAGCCTCGACGAACAAAAACCCATATGCTACGCAGGCAAAGACAAAGCATCAAATATATAGGCATATAAACAAATTAAACCGTTTTTCCGTACACTGACAACGTTCATCTGAATTGTTCGTACCATTTCCAGATTAATAATCATACAAGCATATCCAAACATGAAACCAACTACAACATTCATACAAACCAATAACGAAACCAAAATAATTGAAAGTATGCTTACTGTTTGAACAAGTTGGGGCGTCTTCAGAGTGAACACCTGCTGCATTGGCCTGCACCTGCAAGAAATCAGTATTATTAGCATCTAACCCACACGCAAATAAACGAAACAACATGGAGCGTACAGGAAGAAATCCTGCATATTACGTGAGGGGATTTGAATGCCACCGTGGAGTTCGTGCACCGGCGAGCGGCCCTCGATCTAAATGACACGGAAACGGAAGATGATTGTGAGAACACCACGTGACCAGCCCGAATCATCCATTCCTTGGATAGCTCGCTTACAGTATCCTCTGCATCGCAGGCAGCGAAGAGGGGGGCGCCTTTCGCCGGCGGGCGGGGCGACGATCTCTGGGTTTGCCGCCGCACAGATCGAGGTGGCGCGGAGGAAGCGTGGGAGGTGGAAGCGGTATACACCGCGCAGCCTACAAAGTGGAGGCTGACGAGAGCGAGACCGGCGACGAGGGATTTGGAGATGCTGCCGCCGGCGGGGGCCGACGAGGGTTTGGAGATGCTGCCGCCGGCCGGGGCGACGCGGCGGATTAGCGGAAGGGTTTTGGTGTGGAGGCTGGGGGCAAAGAGCTCGTGCGGACTCGCGGCCTTGCGGATGGGCAGCCGGCGCCGTTAGATGGGACATCAACCTTTCTCGAATCTGGGCGGTGCGTACTCCCCCGACCGTCCAAAATTGAGGAGACTTTTGACGCGTGGCGTTATAAAAGATGGTAATTTTGGGTGTTTCAGCGGTTTTCAGAGTTACTATTATAATTTATTCGTGTCCTCCATACTATTTTTGTCGATTTAGGCTCTAACGCTGTCAAACTATAGGTGTAAAAAGACGAAAATGCTCTTAAGTTCAAATATGTTATTAATTTTTTTGAGCATCTTAACGACTTCAAATGAAAAAACTCAAAATTAGAAGGTTGTAGATCTCGTCGAGATCTATAATTTTCATATAAAATTTATTTTCATTTAATTCCGCAAAAAAAAATGATTTTTCTAAGATATATTAATCATATCAAATCATATTTTTTTACGGAATTAAATGGAAATAATTTTTATATGAAAATTATAGATCTCGACGAGATCTAAAATTTCTAATTTTGAGTTTTTCATTTAAAGTCGTTAAGATGCTCAAAAATTAATAACATATTTGAACTTAAAGGCTATTTTCGTCTTTTCACCTTGATTTAACAGGCGTTAGATCTCAAACCCACGGAAGTGGCATGGAGGACACGAAAAAAAGTTGAGTGAGTGGCGGCTGAAGACCGCATTTGAATTTTTCGAGGCACACGGAGGATTGCGATCTTTTATAGTGACACACAGGGAAAAGTCTCAAAATAGAGACATGTTTTTTGCCGTTGATTTTTTTATTAAGTCTACTTTTGGACCATCAACTATTACGTTCGTCTAATTTTGACCATCAACTATAAAACCGTCTAATGCTGGTACCCCAACTGTCAAAACCGTTCACTTTTAGCACCTGAACGCGGGTAGGGTTGTTTTATCCATCGTGGAGCGGGTTTGACCATGCCACGCTGGCGTTGACATTGCCACGCTGGCCCTCTCTTTCCTTCTATTTCTGCGTGCGTAAAGGAGACAACGGCGGCGGTAGCTCTGATGATGGCACGCCCGTAAACTACTGGCGGCGGCGCGCGTGAGCGAGCTCTGGCGGCGATCGTCTCCTGCGCTAGACCTAGCTCACCATGGAGCTCACGCGAGGGCGAAGGCTGCCCTTCTTTGGGTTCTTTGCTCGATGACCACGCCAAGCCGCTCGGCGCCGGCGGCGCTCTGCCGTCGGTCAGCTCCCGCACCGCAGCCGCCGCTCCTTTCTCTTCTCCAACGACTCCCGCGTTTGCGCCTCTCTCTTCTCCCGCGCCACCGCCGCGCCCGCCTCGGCCGCGGAGCGCGCACGCCTTCTCTAGCGACTCAGCCTCCGTTCGCACCGCCATTCCATTCTTCTGCGGGAGGCGAGGTCTGACGCCATGGATTTTGGTTGTAAATCACGGGCGTTCATCCAACCAAGAAAGACGCCTCTTAGCCACCGCCATCGTCGGCGCAATCCATGCCAACATCACTTTGCGGCTAGCCATGGAGGAACGACTTCGGCTCAAAAGCGGTATGCGATGATGGATCCGGCATCTCGCACCTGGCCCAATCTTTGCGTCATCTCAACAAAGGTGCAGGCGATGGCCGACATGGAACAATGAGAAAGGTGGCGGCAAGAAGAGGGAGGGCGCGCGCCGCCGAGAACCCGAGGTAGCGGGCGACGGATCGAGGATCTGGGCGTGCGCTTCTGAGCGAGCCGGCAGGTCATTGGGGCCTCATCCGACGCCGGGATGGCACAGGCAGAGTGGCAGGGGCCACCATCTGACACCACCACTGCGTCGGGGCCACTGGGGCCTCCACCCATGTCGAGAGGAGGAGGGAGGTGCGGGGGTCGCCCACGAGCGGTCTCCTCCTCACCGACTACCATCACCATGTAAAATGTCTTGGCCTTGATGCATGGCGCCCGTGGTTGCTGTGGTCTGCGAGAGCCCTGGGCGAGCTTCATCGCCATCGGCCGCTCTTCCCACAGCTGGAATCGTGATGCTGAAGCCGCGCTCTACTACTGCTCCCGTCGGAAAGAAGGGGAATCTAAATGAAGTCTTGAGGAGCACGCCACGAGCCGCCGCCCTGGCCCGCTTGCTTGCGTGGCTCCACCCTCGTCTGCCATGCCGCCGAGATGGAGCTGCCATCGCCTCGAGGCCAAGCGCCACCCCCTCCTCGGATGCTGAAGCCCTTCGCGTTGAAGCCAGCGAGCGCCTTCTAGCCCAGATCTTGAAACCACCAAATCGGGCTAAGCTGCTCGTCCTCCTCTTCCATCTCGTCTTCCTCCTTGTCCTCGTCCTCTTCCTCCCCAACCTCCTGCTCGTGCACATATGGCTTGGCGGCAAGCGGTTCAACGCCTCCGCGGCGGCGGCAGTCGCCACAGTGCTCCACCGATGAACACAGCGACGGGAGGCGGGCGACGATCTCGTCCATCGTTGCCCAGCTGCTGGTGCCTTCTTCGGGGCCTGGCCGAGGCTGGTAGGGCTTGCTTCCGTCGTGATGGGACATGGCGGTGAGGGATCGGATCGGATGATGGGGATGGGGGTGGAGGGTAACCCTAGCCCCTAGGATTACGATCTGTTTTCGGTTTGGAGGGTGGAAATGGCTCCACGATGGTTCGGCCAAGATCACTGCCGTCCGCCTGCCGACCATCGCCGCTCTGCTCTCTCTCTCTCTTATTCTCTGTTGCTCTGCCCGGTGTGAGGGAGGGAATGAGTGGGTGATGCGCGGACCCCACATGTCGCTGAGATGCAGGCCAGCGTCCTACGTGGCGGTCAACGCCAGTGTGGCGTGGTCAAAACCTCTCAACGTCTGTCAGAACAGCCTTGCCCCCGTCCAGGTGCTAAAAGTGAACGATTTTGACAATTGGGGTACCGGTACTAGATGGTTTTATAGTTGAAGGTTAAAATTAGACCAACACAGTAGTTAAGGGGCCAAAAATAGACTTAATCCATTTTTTTAACTAAAATCATGTCCGTGTTGCAACGCATGATGGTCATCTGCACCGGTGCCGCTCAATCTAGGTCCAGGACGTCGGGGCTGGCGTCGATGTCGGCGCTCGGCATGGCATGAGTGGGAGAATTCGGATCGAATTGAAAGGCACGAGGAGTCGGGCGGCAACACAATCGAGCCGGCCATTAGTTGTCGGGTAGACGATAACCCTTCATTTTATTATGCCAGTTTTAGTAAAGTTTCATGAGAGTTTTATAAGAGTATAGGTATTAAATATGCTGATATGACCCTATATTGATGAAGAGGGATGATAAAAATTTTATAGGAGTAAGAAAACTCACATGCACTGTTTTCTAAAATATAAGTGTGTTGAAAATTGAGACATAAACCTCCAGTGTGAATGACCTTAGTACAGAGATTTAGTAGTTAGGTTTGTATGTGAAAATATTATTAACATATGCATCTCTAATAATATTCAACAATTAATCTGATAATATTTATTATACATCATAAATATATTCTCTTACATATATATTTGATTAAAATTAAAAATATTTAACTTATTAGAATACGAGACAGCTACGGTGAAGTATAACATTTTAAAAGAATATGTATTTATATATATATATATATGTGTGTGTGTGTGTGTGTGTTGAACACCTTGTTGCCAAACAAAGAGGCCAACATGTGAGTACTCCATCTGTTGTAAAATAATAGCACTTCTAGGATTTCTTAAATACATCAATGTTATTTGAAAATTACATATTTACCTATCAAAAGCTATATTTCAACAAAAATAAATTCACTTTAGGTGTAGAGAAAGTAAAGAAAATCTACTTGGCTTTGTTCTGCAACAATACTTCAACAACATTTTTTAGCGAAGGAACAGTATTTTACTCTCACAATAAATCAGCATAAGCATTAGCATAAACTAAATTTCAGCATAAGCTAAATGGATCATTCCTAAAAGTATATGTATTTTAGGACAAATTTCAAATGCTTACACTTATTTGGAACAGGGGAGCATGTAACTGTAGTAAAGGAAGGTAACAATATAAAAAGCAAACATACGAGTTTTATATAAAACTATAAAACTATGAACGGGGGAGCATGTAGACGTCTCTTTATTCAAATCGCAGAACACACGAACACACCTACATTGATATTGACAAAGTCATCTTATCTATATGAGTACTTCAAAAAGACTAAGGGGGTGTTTCCTAAAGTTTAATCCATGTCACATCGGATGTTGGACATTAATTTAGAGTATTAAATATAGACTAATTACAAAACTAATTGCACAGATTGAGACTAATTTGCGAGACGAATCTATTAAGCATAATTAGTCCATGATTTGACAATGTGGTAATATAATAAACATGTGCTCCAGCTAGCCGTTGCAGCTCACCAACGAGCGGCGGCGGTGGCCAACGGTGGTGTCCAAAAAGGCTACTGCCGTGGATCCTCTTCTCCCCCTCCTTCCTCAGCCCTTATCAAGCTTTATGAGGCTCCCATGGTTAGGGGTAGGCATTCGGTTAACCGTCGGTTTATTTCTTTAGTTTTTTAGAAATTTGGTTCCATCAGAACTAGGAGCTAATCGGTTCTCTGTAAAAATAGGAACTGATGAAATTCGGTTTCGGTTATTTCGGTTCGGTCTATGTTATAACCAAACTAATCGGTTTACAGGTTCAACAAAGCCAAAAAAGCAATAAAAAACGAGTCATTGTTGAGTGCCTCGCCACACGCGCTGCTCCATCTCGTGCTTGTGCTTGTCCACATCCGATGGAGGTCGAGCATCCATGTGGAGCCCCAGTGTGACTCACACAATTTGGGGGCCGACAGCATAGCACCACACTCTCCTGCTTGGATCGTTAGTTGACAGGAGGTGGCGTCTTTATAAGCACTAGTGGGGCCCACCATCGTCGTTGCTCTCCACTTAGATACGTCGGCCGAAGGGAGGTGCCACGACTACGCGTGCTAGGGGTCGACAGCCACCGACGAGCCATCCTGATGGGGCCGCCACCACGCCCTGCTTGGGGCTACCGTCGGTTGAAGATGAAGGGAGAGGGGATGCACCATGCCCACCGGACTAATCAACAGATGGGTCTAGGGCAGCGGGTTCTAGGCACCTGGTGGTTGGGGCGAGGAAAAGAATTGAAGTGGCTGGGTCCCAAGGTTTGAGGTGTGAGGAGGAACAATATATACCTATACAGACAACTAGTGGGCTAGGCTACAATATTTTATTGGGCCTTTGTATGGGCCCCTTTGGCACAGCTCCCAGCTCCAGCTTTACTCTCAGCTTCCGCGGAGCCCTGCCAAACACTTAAAATGCAATTAAATTCTGGTGGGGAGTGTTGGCGTTTCTTAGTGTCACTTCTAGGATTTGTGTTTCCTAGCAATGGCACTAGAAATGTCGTGATGATATTTCTGAACACATACAGAAAATATTCCGCAAGCGCATGGATATATTGTTATAGCATTTCACCCAGATGTATTTGGGTATCGTTCATTTATATTTTCTCAAATGAAGGCATGGTGTAAAAGTCTCTAGTAGGGTCATGGATAAGATAACATGACTGTATAATAGACTAAAATTCATAATAGGGGTAAGACAGGATAAATATTGGATAGTGTGACAAACACACTCAAGCCAATCTCAAAGATAAAGATAAAAGAGATAATAAAGAATAAAAGAATATACCTAAACTGGAGCAGACTTATCTTATATAGCTATGCTAAGATGAGCGGATGATCATACAAATACATGTGTTTCTAAGGTTAGAGATTCTAAGTTAAAATAACTTTGGTCACTATAAACTTACTTGAACACCGGATAACACTTGATGCCTTAGCGTTGTCGACCCTCTTGCTCTCTGTTGAACCCGGACGTGGGGGATTGCGCGGGATGGACAGGGCCGTCGCCACCTGCCGCCTACCCCTTAACCGTGGGGAATGAGGCAAACGAAGGTAGCCTCTAGCCTAAACATCATGTCTATGCTATTGATTACTACTCTAGCGTCTTGTGAGGTTATCCGTTTTATCGGGACCCTCTACTAGAGTATCATACAAGGACAAATAGACGAACCACTTAAGTAAATAATGACCAAAACTAACTTATGTCTATGCTATTGATTACTAATCTAGCGTGCGCAGGGTTATCCATTTTTATCAGGGCCCTCTACTAGAATATCTACCACAAGGACGACAACGAACCCACAAGTAAATAATGACCAAAACTAACTTAAAGTAGAACTCGCCATCTCAATCTAGGTCTTGGTCTAAACATGTATGTTGTATGAAAGATTAAGCATAAAGTTATATATGCTAAACTAATAACATAAGAACATAGCTCTATTTCATATGCAGAGCTATATTGATAATATGAGAGCAAGTACAAAAGGAAACTCTTGATATTATTCATATCAAAAGGCTCAAGTTGCTCAAGCTCTCCAAGATAGCTTCTCCTAGCTCCAACTACTAAAAATGTAAATAGAATACAAGTGAAGGGAGAGAGGCTCTTGAATGAGGTGTGTGTTGAGAGAGGGGGCTCTCCCTGTGGTAAAACCACCTAATCTAATGCCCTTCCAAGAGTACTTGGCTTCCATTAGACACTAAGTACCCAAGAGCTATTAACCATAAGCTATTAACCAGGCAACTATTACCCCTTACACGTAATAAAGGCGGTGGGGTCATAGACCACAGAATCAGAGGAGTATTACAAGCGAAGATTCAGACAACAAGGGTTCCTTTCGCAACAAGAGATAAGGAATTCAAATTTCGCAACGGATTTAATTTAAAGAGATTCAAATGTTCTGCTGGGATATCCACAATTAGTTGATACAGTGCCCTCTGTTATCCAATCATGGCTAGTCTGCTCGCACCTAAATAGTAACTTCTCTTGTAACCCACTTAACGTCGTCCTTTAAAACCCTAAGCACGTCTAACGAGACCTAAGGGTAGATGGACGCAATAAACACAACAAAATAAATAAAATGCACATTCCAAATGTCCTTATGC